GGCCTCAGTTACCCTCAGAGTTTCACACTTTTATGTCAAGAGTTTTCAGTTAGCTTCCGATTTCAGGTCTACGAGCGCGGAATGGAGTATTTTGGAGAGGACAACATCAACGAAAAGCTCCTCGTGGCTTTCGCTTTGTTTGAGGAGAGGCAGAAAGAACATGAGCGTGCCTCGTGTCATTTACAAGTACGTATTTGTTTAAGAGGTCATAATACAATAGACCTCACCACGGCGCACCGATTGGGCATGTAGTGAGGTCTGTTGTAAGGGGCGTAGATTGAAGCAGAGCCACGACAGCCTTTTACACTATCAGTGCCATTCTAGCAGGGCACGCCCTCTGTTTTTAAGATTGAATGTTGCATGACTTGTGTCTTGTTTTCGTTTGATCAAACGTGCTGCGCTTTTGCCCAGGATTTGAGATTTGTCAGAGCAGAGGTCGCCCTTTTTGGGCAACTAGCACCCTTTTGCGGCACATTAGGAAAGTAATCGTCTGCTTGTCGGGAGTTCTCGCCCTTTCCCATGGGTACCAACCGGATGCCTGAGATCTTTACTCCTTTCGATCCGTTTTCTACCTTTACAATCTAATGTTCTTAGGATATGGACTAGACCATCTTCCTCCTGATCGCACAGCAGACATTTTCAAACACTTACACCGTACACGAAAAGAAGTTTGGTGAAAGAGCTGGCATTGAAGATGTGATTGTTAGTAAACGGCGTACTCAGTACGAAAAGGTCGGTGAGATTGAGTTTCTTTGAGTTCCTTTTTATTCTGAGCCGTGCAGCCAACATTTTTGCTGCTGAGTAGATTATCCTCCAACATTTAATTGAAGAGTGTTTCTCGCTATAATCATGTGAAACTAAGCCTATGAGATGTGTCTACGTTTAGCAAATAGCTGAAAACTCTTTCAACTACGATGCATGGTTTGATTATTTGCGATTACTAGAGAATGAGGAGTGTCCTCGGGAAGAGGTTGAAGATCTCTATGAACGAGCTATAGCGAACATTCCACCACATGAGGTGGGTATTCATGAAGTTTTTTTTGCCCTTCTTTCAAATGAGCGGTGGTAGCTTGGTATGCTTGACTTTTTATTTCAAGGAGAAGCGTTATTGGCGAAGATATATTTATTTATGGATCAATTATGCTATTTATGAAGAACTAACGGCTAATGATGTGGAACGAACGAGACAGGTAACAGTAACCTTGATATTTATTCCGGCTCACACGCCGCCCCCAAACGACGTCAGGGTCAGCTCGCATACACTCCTTATCCTTGAGAGGAGTAGGCGTGGCATCCGAACATGGCACAGTATGGGTCACTTGTTGGATATCTCAGTTTGAGACAGTCATCTTGTATAGTGTTGGACATAGATATGGCCAAAATTGAGTCGAAATAGAAGCTTCTCTCCAGAAGCTCACCACCGCCACGTTTAGTTCAAATGTTATCGCAGCACGTCCCACCACATGCTTAGTGATCTCGATTATACTTCGCAATCGGTTGATTTTTGGTTTGAAAGTTCAAGCTAAGTTACATTCATTGGTGCTATTTTCTGCCAGGCATGGGCCAGTTGACCAGGTTATAGGTGCTGAAGGACTTGGTTTTTGACCCCTTAAATACAACCAATTTCATTGGGCTCACTGAAAATATGGTCGTCATAACTCAAGATAGAATACGACGCCGAGACGAACAGCGAACGAAGGCTGGACCGAGAGCAGCTCACTCATTGACCCCGCAAATTCGATGTTCGGTGCCTCGACAAGATAAGCGAGGGGGATTTTTTTGGCGTAGCGCACCCTAACCACGGCAAGCATTATCATCCATTATAAAGAATGTGAAAGGGTGATGCGATGAAACATGTGTCCCATGAGTCTGCCCTCAGAACGGAGCAGAATAGGCCTGCGAGCTATGAGATGACGTGTACCCCACTTTATTGATAAAAGAGGGCCCGTCTCTTTTATTCAGTTACGGAAGTTAGGATTGACAGCTTTTTTTCAGATCTCGTTCATGGTTTTCTTGTAATTGTGCTCATAATTATAGGTTTACAAGGCTTGTCTCGACGTTATTCCTCACAAAAAGTTCACCTTTGCGAAAATTTGGATAATGTTCGCTCATTTTGAGATAAGGCAAATGGATCTGGCCGCGGCGAGAAAGATTTTGGTGAGATCATTTTCCTTTAAGAATTGTATTTTGTGATGTGATAGGGCATGGCAAGCGGCAGGGGATCACCGTGCAGGTTTGATACTGCCGTGAAATGGCGCCATTTTTGGAAATTGGTTCACACTTTACGGAGCACCTCACTTGAAAACCATCTATTTGATGAAAACCCCAGTTCCGCGCCAGGTTTCTAAACCATCCTCTCCCACACCCTCCCCTCCCTTACACTTGTCTCTTGTGTCTCCTTTCTTACCATCGCAAACGTCATATCATTGTGGACGTTTTATTGCATTGCTTTAAACTCTCTGTAGGTTATTTTGTTTACGTTGATTGTTATTTCTTTCACTCCTTTTTATTATTTTATAGGGAGTTTCCATAGGAAAATGCCCAAAGGAGAAACTCTTCCGAGCGTATATTGATCTCGAGTTGCAATTACGTGAATTCGATCGGTGTCGAAAATTATATGAAAAGTTTCTTGAATATTCATCGGAGAACAGCAATACGTGGATTAAGGTGAGCTATTGGGCTTTCTTTCATTCGAACTTCTGTTTCAGATAAAACGCAAACATCTTGCATCATAATTTGGCATACTGGGAGTTTCTCCTCCACTTTCGATTAGAGGCACCCCCAGCGTTCATTTGGTGCACAGTCGCCTTCTTTGGACGGTAGCCCTGCACACAAGCATGAAAGATGTACTATGTTCGCCGCGCAAAAACTCGTGAGAAAAGCACCGCCCATTGCAATGGAACCACGGCTCCGCCCAATAGTGACGGCTACGCCCAACTTTCATTTCTGAGAGCTTCATGGTGGTGCGGTATTTGACGTATTTGAGCCGTGCAACTTACCATTTTCGGACCTCGGGGTGCCTTTGAGCCTGAGACTTTCTATCGATGGGTTATTAGAAGTGGTAATTATAATTATAATTAATTATGATATGATTTTTTCAGTTTGCCGAACTCGAGACACTTCTTGGTGACGTGGATCGCGCTAGAGCTATTTTCGATATTGCTGTTCAACAGCCAGCGCTGGATATGCCTGAGGTATGGCATGTTTTCTGTTGCTTTTTATTCTGCCATTCTGAAGCTGCAATTACTATTCTACTTTTTGAATGTCTGAAGAACCTTTCCGTTGACGAAACCCTCTTGTGATTTTACATCAGTTTTCCCGAAAAAAAAAACACTGAAACCACTCCTTCATGTAATTCAAAGTTCTCCCGTTACACTTCGTGGTTTTCCATTACATTACATCTTCCGGTACTCTATATCTCTTTACAGATTCTATGGAAAGCGTACATTGACTTCGAAATCAATGCGGAAGAGTACGAAAAAGCCCGTGATCTTTACGAGGCGTTATTGCAGCGAACGAATCACATAAAGGTTCGTGATAGAGTAACCTTATCGATAACAATTATAATTGAGGTTTTTACAGGTTTGGATCTCGTTGGCC